GCGGAGGAGGAGGAGGAGGCAGCTGGTGCTGCGGAGACCTAGGCTGCTGTAGCTGTGAGGCTGGGGCCCTGGGAGGAGGAAGCAGAGGCAGTGGCGTCCAAGGTCTCCAGGGTGAAGGAAAGATCTGAGGGTGACTTTGCCATCAGGAACCACTTAAGCCTTACAGCGCCAGGGCATTCTTAGCAGCCTTACAGCATCTATTGAGAATCCTGTGCCACAGGGGTCACAGACCCACTTCAATAAGAAATAAGATGCACATGGCTGCTCAACAGACACCAGTGAGGTGCCACTCGAGTCAGAAACCGCAGATGACCGTGTCACGTATGTAGATGAGGACAACACTAGTATCAGCGGTGGCCACGGCACTCCTGACCCAGCAGTCAGTAATACAGAAGCCTCTTCAACACCTACTGCTGTTTCCAATGCACTCCCACCTGGCAGTTGTGCAGAAATGAGAGATTCTACCTCTCAGGGCTGTGACATCTCCACCACTAGCTGTTCTTCCAGAGCCCCTGACGAAGACAGAGCGATTTCACACAATGCTCCACTGCCGCCTCAGGGGTCTCTGGAGGCTGAAGGTGCTCATTCTGACACACAACACAGAGCCAACCGTACAAACCCAGCATGCAACTTGTCTAGCTTTGGAATCCTGTCCTCCGCACTTGGCGATCCCTCAAATCCTAGAACAGGTTGGCTTAGAAAGTCTTTTTACTGCAGAAAAACACACAGTGGGGCAGCAGCTGCTCTAAGGCTGCTTCAGCCACAAAAGACACCGTATCAGGTGCCAGTCACGAAGATGAAAGCCAAGCCACTCCATGTACAACCTTATGATGCAACCAGTTTAACAGCTCGCAGGTCACTGTGCTTTCTAGAGATGTCAAGTTCTTTCACAAGTGTGGAAAGAATTCCTCATGTTTTTTCTTCTCTGAATTCTCTTGATAGGAGCGGGATGGATATCACAGATATGCAGGTCAAAAGAGCCAAGGGGTGCTCTCCATATCTCCCTGTTCAGAGCCCCACATCCCTGGAGCCTGTTTCCACAGGAACAAAAAACACTGTTCCTTTTAAACTACCTCTGACCTCATCTAGTGAACTAAGGGAGACTGGTCCAAGAATAGATAAAGAGGACAGTGATGGAAATAAAAATATGATACCCAGCCAAAATAGACAATCAGAAAGTGGCTTTCCACACCCAAATTTCAGTTTCCTTGCAGCCCATGGCTCATCTTCTGGAGGAAGTGGTGGAGGTGTTAAGATGGGACAAGAGGTTGTTTCTGAACCACTAGAGGAGGAAAATGAAGTACCAGTGATGCCAAAAATCTCTGCACTGATCAGCAGTTCTTCAGTGCCCACCATGACTCTTAATTCTGCTGAGATCACAGCTTCTCCTCCATCTTCCATGAGTTCTTCTCAGTCATCAGCAAACAAGGTGCAAACAACCTCTCCCAGCAGCACCGGAAGTCCCTTGTTTACGTTTTCACCTCCTCCCACTGTAATATCTGCAGCGGCGGTTGTACTGCCTCCATCATTTCCTGCATTTATATTTAGTGTGCCCATTGCAAACACAGAACTTTCTGGCTCTAGCAGGGCTTTCAAACCAATTCTAAAGAGTTCCACTCAAGACATCACTGCACTGAACAGAACTAACTGTGAGAGGCAAAATGAGGACTCACAGAGCCTTTTAAGACCTGCAAAACTCCTGAAAGAAGGAGGCGTCCTAGATGTTGGTAAAAGCCCTGTAGCTCTCACAGGTCAAAAGCTAGAGTCTCTTACTGCTCGGCTTACCACAGTGCGGCCAGTGGTTTATACAAAACCAGCAAGCAGTACCTTTTCTTCCAGTGCAATCAGCTGTGAGGAATGTGTAAAAGCTGCATCGTTCTGGAAGTGTGATACATGTCTGTTCCAGAACAATGTAAAACTGCCACCAGGAGAAAGCGCTAAACACACTGGAATTGGGACATCAAGCAAAAGTGGCAAAGCAACTCTGCCTGCATCACGGACAGGCTCTGGAGATAAATTTGAATTAGCAAGAGGAACCTGGGATTGTGATACCTGTTTAGTACAAAATAAATGTGAGGCAAGGAGATGTGTGGCTTGTGAAACACCCAAACCTCAAATTGCTGTGAAGCCAGTCCTCAGGGGGACAGCGGTTTCAGAAGGTGCATTCACTAGGACTAAGTCATCTTCCTGCAGCACTGTTACGTCTGGTACCTTATGATTGGGAGGTAAAATCAATAGGCCTGTGGGATCTTGGCTGTGCCCACTACGCTGTGTTTCTAATAACGCAGAAGACAACAAATGTGTGTCCTGTATGTTGGTGAAACCAGCAAGTTTAGCCCCTGCTTCCAGTAGCAGTGGGGCACCTGTCTGTCTTCTGGAGACCACCTAGGATTGGACAAGTGGAAAAGGCCTGAGGAGAAATGGGACTGGGAATCACGCCTAGTGCAGGATAAAGCAGACTCTACCAAACGTGTAGCATGTGAACAGGCCAGGCCAGGCACAAAATCTCACTTTCAAGGACGGGACACATCTTCCTCATCTCTGAATCCAGCAACCTCGTCCTTCAAATGTGGTGTCCCTTCATTCTCTTCTGGGCCTTCTCAGACCATCACAAACAGTGGAAATTTTAAATATGGAGATCAGGGAGGATTCAAAGGAAGTGTATCATCTGACTCTGGGTCTATGCAGCCCAGGAGTGAAGGCTTTAACATTTGTAAACCCACTGGAGATTCTACATTTGGAGTTTTAACTGATTCTAACTGTAAAGAAGTTAAACTATGTGGTAAGAATGATAATAATTTTAACTCTAGACTTAATTTTGGTTAGCAAGGAAGGAAAGAACAGCTGACAAAGTGCATTTTTGCTTCTGGAGCGCTGAAACGAGCATCACAGCTGACTGAGGTGCAGTAAAGCCTGTTTTCTGTTTCCTGAACAACAGTTCCTCTGGTTCAAGGGCACCACCCACTTCAGCTGGTGGTGGCCTACTTGATAGTGCCACCCCCTTCCTCCTCTGCACCAGTGGCTGCCTTTGGGTTTGGATGGGCCAGCAAGCTGGTGAGCAGCTCTGTCCTGCACTACCCTGCTCAATCCAGTCTTTCTCAGTCTCTGCTGTTTTCTCAGGACAGCAAACAAGCAGTCACATCCAAGTACAGCTGTCTCTCTGCCTGCCTTTGAATCAGGACTCAGCAGTAAGACTATTGCAACCTGTGCTTCAAGCCTGGGAGGCACAACCACTTTCAGCTCTGCAGGATCCTCCCTTGAATGTGGCACTGGATAATCAGCACCATCTGCCAGGCCAGCATTTGGTGCTAACTAGACCACACCACTCGGAAAAAATCAAGGGGCCAGACAGCACAATCTCCTGAGCTATGGAGCTCAAGCATCTCCAACAGCATTATTTTCAGGTGGTTCTCAGCCTGCACTGCCTACTTTTGGAGTCATGCCCAATAGGAACCAGCCTCCTGTGTTTGGACAACAGCCTACTCAGTCTGCATCTGGCTTGGGGACAGCCCCTCATCCCAGTTTGGTCCCCCAATCTGGCAGCAGCACCACAAATCTCAAGATCACAAAAAATAATCCATCAGTGCATTCACATCTGACGCCAATCCTGGCACACCTGCAGCCTCAGCTCAGCCTTGTGGCCCAGGAGGGTTCCATTTAACCAGTCTGCAGCAGCAGCAATTAGAGTGGGGCCAAAAGGAAAGGTATGTCCTCTTCTTCTGGGCCTTTTTTGTGGTCACAAGGTAAACTGTTAAGAACAGGAAATGAAGTCTACATATAACTAATACACAACAGTTTTAACAACTTGTGGTGCTCATCATCCAGATACTGGATTGTAGCACATTCTGGGTTTATCTGAAGTCAGAGGCCCAAAGGCTTCTTTAATTTGGAAAATTTCCCCTTCTTTCTTTATATAAACTCTTCCCATCTCTTCAACCCTAAACACACACACACACACACACACACACACACGCACACAGAGAGAGAGAGAGAGAGAGAGAGAGAGACAGAAATAACTAGAGTAGCCACTAATTCTTCAGAAAAAAAAATATTTCAGGATCCAGCACATGATTCACTGATTTGGCATCGGCCATACCCAGAGTAGAACCTCAGGATCTGTACCACGAGGTGTGATCCTTAAGCACTTACAGGATGCACTGACATTGTATCTGAGGAATTCTGTATATGGTAGGATTTTGTTAGGGAAGACACTGAAATGAATTATTTCTATGCCAACTGTGAGTGTGTGTGGAGTTGGGTGTATTGTGCACTGATATTTTCTGACAAAGCCTGATGAGAATGGTAAGCACCTTTTAGATCTAGCTTAGATCTTCTTAGATCTAGTTCATTCTCTATACAGGAATCACATGCTACTTCTATATTTTCAATTTTCTATCAACTTTCTTTTTTCATGGTTTTATTATTAAACTTCTGTAAGTACATCTTGGTCTCTGTAACTTTTTTGCCTTAACATAAATCTGTGAACTTCAAAAAGGGAAGCAGTAAACATTCTGAAAGGCCAGCTGGGAAAGTGTGAAAAGAGAACTACAGGCCAAGTATCTATCTGGCTATATGAACCTTCCTCCAGGGACTTCCCCAACAGAACTGCCCTAGGTTGAGGATGGGAGAGTGGAAACGGGACATTAGCACTAGAAGGGACAGGAAGGAAGGCAGAAGAGCAGAGAAGGGAATTTTGTTTCTGGGTCAGTAGTTTGGGCTTCTGAGTTTATCCTCTATAGTAACTTAAGATTCTTCAGGTCCCAACTCTAGCAAAAAAAACACCTGTTTGAAAAGAATTAGAGTTGTGGGAGTAAAAAGCATATTGAAAATATACAAATTAGGAAGTATAATACAGAGTATGCTGTCAGCTTTATAGAAATAAGACTATAGACCAGATAAAAGACTGGAAAATTATAAACCAAAATACAAATAGGATAGACTAGCGGTAGTTTTAATTTTATGATTATTGATACTTTAATGCACAATACGCATTATTTTTAGAAGAGAATGTTACTTTAAGGCCAGGTGTGGTGGCGCACGCCTGTGATCCCAGCCCTCGGGAGGCTGAGGAGGATCGCTGTGAGTTTGAGACCAGCCTGGGCTACAGTTAGTTCCAGGTCAGTCTCAACTACATAGTGAGACCCTGTCTCAAACAAACAAAACAAAACAAAAAAGAATGTTACTTTAAAAAGACGATCACGCATTCATATAATAAAATAAAAGCAGGGCCAGGGATTTACCTCTGTGGCACCGCGCCTGCCTTGCAAGTGCAAGGACCTGAGTTCAATCCCTGGTACAAATAAATAGATAGATACAAAATCGGGTTGAAACACAGTTATTTCAATTCTTATAACAAAAGACTCAACCGGAAAACTAAACAGGTAATTTAATTCCTAAAACAGAAGTCTCAGGAAAGTGGAGAAAGTGTAAAATCTCCAGAACTCTTTTCACCTGGAACAGAATCAGTCTTTACAAAGTATAAAGCCCTTTCCATGGTCACAAATCAACCTACTACAGGCCCCCAAGAACCTGAGCAGATTACCCATGCTGAGAATGCGTGTCCCAAGGAAAAGTGACTTGGTCAGGGGCACGCGACCAATTTAATAGGTGAATAGCTCAAAAGCAGAGGTCATAAACTCAGTCTTGAACCAACTTGTAAATGGTTTGTTGTGGTTGCTGGCGCCCCCGCTCCCCCGTCCCCCAACAGCCAGCGCTTAAAATCAGAACTGACTGACTGACTGAAAACCCAGGTCTTCACGTCTCTGAGAAACCAACCGGGATCACTGCGAGCAGGACCGAGGGGCGCTCCGCACCCCAGGCCTGGGGTTCAGGCAGCCTGGCCCTGCGCGGAGCCCAGTGTGAGACCCTGCACCCCGAGGTCCCTGCACGCAGGCTCGCGACCCTC